GGAAGTGGAGGTCTGCTGAGCCTCCCGCTCAGACGTGTCATTGTAAATCTGTCCGTTTGTGTTTATCAGGTTATTATTTTATGCTGAAGCTGGTCAAAGTTACACTGCACATCTGGTCTTTGCATGGTCTCAGACAGGTTGATTGTCACTGTTCTTTAGATCCATTGTTTTTGCAGGCCTGGTGCTTGTTTGCTAAATCACTCCCTTCTTGTCGTACATGAAGCTTGGTCAGCAGGGGACAATCAACCATTTGCGCTGACATGGTTCTAAAACAAAAGGGGTGTTCTTCTTCTTTTGATTGGATTACGTCTTTCGACGTCTCTTGAGAAGATAAGCAGAGTGGGACAGGAACTGCTCGAGACAATTGGGCGCCCCAAGCTGACCATGTCTCAGTTTTACGACTGCAAACAGTTAGGAGGGGGAACCTTGATTCTTCTGGAATTTCTATTCAATAGTTCAAGTGGGGAATCCATAGTTTATTTGGGTCTGTATGAAACAGAGATCCTACACACCTTTGGCTCGGTGATGTTCCCGGTACGAACATCGGCGGGCATTGGAACAAGAGGCAGAGAGAGAACAGGCACACACAAGACACAAACAACATCTCCATCACTAACTGAATCCTGGTGCAAGGCTTAGGTAATTTGGGGATAATCGGGTTAGGAACACTTGAGATGAGGTAGGGGTGCATTGTTTAGGATTATCTAGAATTGGGTCGTTTTAATTGCTCTAATTGTCAGAGGTTCGACGAGGCGGTATAGGTGTAATCTCAATCAGGTTTGTTGAGTTCTCAGTTTCAGGTTCTTGGTCAGTTTTATCACGTCGGAACATGCGCGGGATGCCTGACGTGCACTTGTTGAAAGACTCTTGGATGGCATTCACTCGCTTGTGGAGGAGGAAGGCAAGTGTCAGCGTCACAACATATCCTACAATAATAGAGATGCAAAGCGCTGTGTCAGCGGCAGACCAAGACAGAATGATTGGCGCGCCAGCGGGCGGAAGGCGAGCAGTGGTATAGGCGGTGATGAGGTTCATGTCACCAGGTTGGTACAGCAGGTGTAGCGGTAGTGTCATTTGTTGCCCCATCATCATCTTGAACGGGGGTACTCCAGTAGACCGGTGAGGGATGGCCCCAATGGCCATCAGTACCAGAGGAAGCTTAATATCCCAATCATTTTGATTGGCGGACACGTACTTCTTCAACATGCTGACCACTGTCCTGTTGCCTCGTTCAACTTGACCTGAGGCAATTGGGTGATGGCTTATGTGGAGCTTGGCCTGTATACCCAGGTGTAATGGTATCAACTCATGGGAAATATGAATAATTAACCATAACTAGTTATAATTAATTATTCATATTTTAGATCCGCTGTAGATATTTACTTAGTTTCCACACTTCCTGCATGCCTTCGGCAGTGAAGTGGGTTCCTCGGTCAGAGTTGACCCTTAAAGGCAGTCCGAACCTTGAGAAGATGTGGTTCATCAAAAGGCAGGCTGTTGTTTCTGCTGTATCATTGGGAGCTGGGAGACACTCTACCCACTTTGTGAATTCGCAAACCACGGTGAGGAAATATTTGTTACCCCGTGTTGACTGTGGTATGGGTCCTACCCAATCTATTTGGAGGTCCGACTATGGGAAGGTCATTTCTTTCCACTGCAGTGGTGCTCAGTGGTTTGGATTTACCGGTTGAAACTGGCAACACACCAGGCATCCTTTTACGTACTCCGCCACGTCTTGCTGCATGCCAGGCCACTATGCTACTTGTTTGAGCGTTTCGTAGGTGTTCTTGGTGCCATGGTGTCTAGCACATGGTGAAACGTGGGCATGTGTCAGCATCATCCCCCTTTGGCTCTGAGGGACTACGAGCTTTGGCACAGCGAGGGGCTCAGGGACATATGTGAGAACACCGTCTTTGAGATGCAACATGTGCTTGATAGAGATGAGCGTGCAGAGATCGTAGGAAGTGGCTAGGTCGGAGGTGGAAATGGGATGAGTTAGTGGGTCTGAAAGGTGAGCTGCAATAGTGTGCAGTGTCAGATCCGAAGCCTGGAGGGTGAGGAGATCATCAGCGGCGAATTGAGGTGAGAGTTCGACGTAAGAGGTGGTGGGGGTTTGCGCGCCAGTGGCGTGCTGGTGGCGGGTTATGGCTGTCACTGATGGGTTGGGTGGGAGGGCAGGAAATGTCCAGGACTCTCCGTGTAATGCACCTACTTTGGCGAGGGCATTAGTTTGGTGTTTGAGATCTTGGTCTTGTCCTGGTTGACGTGAGTGACCTCGGACCTTTTTCCAATAAACGATCATGTCATGTTCAGTGACAATGGCAATGGCATCGCATGCTTGGAAGAGTTCCTGATGTTTGACAGACTGGATTCAAGACAGCTAACAAAAAGCCTGTTTCCATCCAGCTAGATGGCATGTGAAGCTTAGGCGGGCGTAGTTCGAGTCGGTACAGATGAGGAGTTCTTTGATGTTGAGGGATGCAGCAAATTGTAGGGTGATGAGGATGGCCGCTATTTCTGCATATTGCGATGAGTGAGGGCCTAATGTGAATTGTTGTGGCTGGCGAGGTTCATTGTTGAGCCAGACCACTCCCGCTCCAGCTTTCAAGTTGCCCTGTTGATTGTAGGAGTAGCCATCGACATATGCTGTGGGCATCCCTTCACATACATTCTCCTCGAAGTACCTGTGGTTTGTCAGTTGCGGCTGTGAAGGTTCTTTGGGTTTTGCTGCTGTGTGCAGCGTGTCCGTTGAACAGTTCTGGCAGGCTGCTAGCCTGTTTCCTAGAGATGATTTGTGGTTTTGGGCATATCTTGCCTTGACGTCCCATCCTTGGATCGTCGTTAACCAGGTAGCTATGCGTGCGTTGATTACCACGCCATCCCTGTTTTGTTGGCTGTTGAGGAAGGTGACTGGCTGGTGACATGTTTCAATGATAACCTTCTGAGCTCCAGTGTAGTTGGAGAAATGCTGGATGGCCCACACAGACTGCGAAAAAGCTTTGCTTTGCACTGAGTACTTGCATTCAGGGGGAAGCAGAGTTTTGCTGACATAAGCGACCACTCGCTTGTCTTTGTCGTGGAGCTGATACAGGCCTGCGCTGAGGCAATGATTGGAGAATCCAGCATCCAGATAGAATTCCTTTCCTGGGTCTGGGTAGGCCAGGCATGGGGTGGAGCACAGGCATTGTTTGAGCTCGCTCATAGCTTTGTCCTGGGCTTCCGACCAAACGAAGGGCTCGTCCTTTCTCAGGAGGGAGGTTAGTGGTCGTGCAATGTCAGCGTAGTTTTCAATGAACTGTTTTGAGTAATTGCACACTCCCAGAAAGCTTCGCAGCTCAGAAATGTTAGTGGGTTTTTTTATGTTTTGGAATGCTTAGATGCGGCTGGACTGTGGTTCGATGCCATCTCGTCCGACGAGCAGGCAGACATAGTTCACTCTGGTTTTACACCATTGTCCTTTGTGGAGGGCGATTTTCGCTCCTGCCATTGCCAGTTGGTTCAGGACGTGATCGATTTCTTTGAGGTGGTCTGCCACATTTGAGCTTTTCAAAAGAACATCATCTACGTTAACGAGGTTGCCTCTTGTTCTGGCATCAGGGCATGCTTTGTTCAGGAAGATGTTGAATTCTGCTGGTGAGTTGGCATAGTCAAAGGGGCACCGTGTAAAGGTGTACTGTCGATTGCCAAAGGTGAATGTCAGCTTGTGTTGGTTATCAGGGTGGACAGGGATTGTCCAAAATCCTGAGGCGACGTCCAGCGTGGAAAGGATCGTTGAGCCTTTGATTTTGGGAATCTCTTGGTCCAACTGGGTCATAGGCCATCGCGATAAGGGTACTTGCTGGTTTAATTTGCGATAGTCAATGGTGGGCCACCATTTGCCGTTGGGCTTTAGAACTGGCCATATCGGGGCAGAGTACGTGCTGTTACAGGGGCGGATGACCCCCTTTTCCAGCATGGAGTCTATGATTTCTTGCACTGGCTCATATGACGCTATTGGAATCATGTACTGTCGCACAAATGTGGGTGGTACATTTGGGCTTGTCGGGATGTGCACCGTGTGGATGTCGGTCAGGCCACAATCCAGGGAGTCCTTTGCGAAGGAGTCCTTGTACTTGTACAGAACCTCTTTGAGTCCTTGGCGATCTGCTTCCTTGTGGAGGGCATCCGCCTCACTCAGGATCTGTTGGACTTGTGCATTGAACCCGGCGTAGGGTTCCTCCATTGTTGAGTCATTTGAGGGGCTCTGGGCCTTGATGGTCACCTGTGCAGATGATTCTGTCGCGGGCTGTGTTGAGACAGCGTAGACCGCGAGGTGAGTGTAATCTGTTAGTTCTGATCGGCAGACACTTTCTCTGGACACTGGCAGAATAGAAGTGATGGCAATGATTTCACTGGGTCTTGTGAATGTTACTGTGTCATCATCATATTCAGCTGACATTAGTTGGACTGGTTTGGGGCCTATGACAGGTACCGTTAGCTCAAAGTCGTGGAACGCCTGGTTGATGAGCCATCCCAGGTGACTGGCTTTGGGAATGTTGATGTCTTTGGCCGTACAGTTGTTGAACAACACATACACAGCACGAGATGACACTTCAAGGAGAGGTGTGGCTTCCAAGGTCAGTCCTAGTCTTAGGCAGGTCCTGGAAGGTTAGAAGAAGCCTAGCTTACTGTTGAGCGTTTGGCCAGGTTTCATGTTGAGGCGGATGCTGACACTCTTGCTGTAGGCAGGTATTGTAGCTTCTTGCTCATTGATCATGGCGCATGCATCTGGCATTGTTTGACCAGATCGAAGGTTCTTGAGGTTGACTGCAGTGGTCAGTTGGTGCGACAGGGGAGCCCATATGATGTTGTTCACGATGTCCACACAGGCATTGAGCCGGCCCATGATGTCTACTCCAATGTAGATGTCATGAGGTAGGTTGGGGACAACGAGGAAGTAGTGACTCAGGTGTCTATTGTTCCATCGTATGTCCACAGCGCAGATGATCTTGGAGGTAGCCATGGTTGTCGACCAGGGACCGAGAGCAAAGCGGCTGTGTTTTGAGATCTGTGGTAGACTCTGGTGTCTTTGCTTCAATGTTCTGAATAGCTTCAGGCTGATAGCTGAGTTCTCCGCCTTGGCTTCACTGACTGGAAGGGCAGAGGCTCGCGGACTTGCGTCCATATCTTTAGGTGCTTGAAGTCTATTAAGGGTTCAAAGTGATTAAGCAGGTCTTTTCCAATGAGGAGTGGATACGTGTTGAGTGGTGAGACGTATACTGGGTGAACGAGAGTCATCGGTCCCACAGTTAGGTGAATTGGGGCCATATATTTTAGTTGTAGGCCCGTGCGGGAATATGCTTGAAGGTTCAGCTCGCACCTTTGGAGTTTGAGGGGTCCGTTAGACCTCTATGTTCTCTCTTAGACTTCTTCAAGGAGTTCGGTCGACATTAGGGTATGATCATTAGGGTTAGATGTCGGCTCCCGTGTCGAGAAGGGGTTTGACTTTGATGTGGCATTCGATGATGATGGAGAGGTAAAACTTCCTTGCTATACCTTTTTGAGGTCGCCCAGGAGTTGAGGGATTGGAGTTTGGGATGAGACAGGTAGGATATCAGGACTGATCTTGTGTTCTTCGGAGGAGTGTCAGACGACCAAGACAGCACTTTCGGGAACTTGAGTGGTTTCGTCAGCAAGTGTTTGTTGGACGCTGCTGTGATCTGACACATCAGGTGTTGGGTCAGTTTCTGACTGTTTTACGGGTTGTTCAGGTAGGATTTCTTGTCCGTCTGAAGTAATGGAGGTTACGGTTTTCTGAGAGTGAGGTGAGAAAGCGCTGTTCTCTTTGGTCTGTTGGGTCAGGTGGCTCTGTTTAAAAAAGAAAACAAGTAGTAAGAATAGAAAAAGAATATAGAATGTTAGTGTCAGAGGCTCTCTTATATATCCCTGATAGTGCGCATACATCTCGGAGACGGCTATTTGACATCTGCATTTACATCTGCAAGTAAATTATTTTTTAGAGCATTTGCTCATCTGCAATACGTCTATAGGACGTTTCCTATCAGATGTCAAATAGATGTTTAGAAGATGTCTTTAAGATGTTTGTACGCAGCAGATGCTTTCCAGATGAAGCGATCTTTAACAGATATCTTGCAGACGTACGTGTGCTATCTGGGATACATATATATATATATATATATATATACAGGGTTTGAAATTGACACCCGCCAACCCGCCAAATGCGGGTAAAAATCAGCTGTGGCGGGTAACACTGTCAAATCACTAGCCAATTTGGCGGGGTACTTTTCGTAAGTTATGTTTACTCATTAATTTCTTGGGGAAGTTCATGCAAGCCAAATCTGCGCCGGTTTAGCGCAAATACTGAACTCGTGAGACATCATGACATTATCGAGTATATTGCAAAAACCAAACAAATCACTCCTACAGAGGCACGCAACGTGATGAAGTCTGGTTAGACCAACACAGCTTTAGTGCGCGTGCGCATTTATAGTGCGTTCTTTCACTGCATGACTCAGTCTATTAATATGCTTTAACAATGATCACATAATTCAAGATAAGGGGGTAGAAAATGTATAAATTTATATCAATTCATATAGTTAATCATTATCACACGAAGAGTGCCGTTTTTTCTTTAAAAAATCAGCATGGTTACAAATGTGATATTGATTTTATACAACAGTTCAATAAACAATAAGTTAATATCAAGAGACGTACGTTTTAGACAGCATATTGGCTGTTTTTGTGTTATTTCTGCGCTATTTCACCAACTAAAAACATTCCACACACAGCCACAGTACTGTTTTGCGTCTCTGAGCAACATGACGTTGTTTTGTTTCTGAATGAATCAAGCGTGTAAATGATTCGGTTCAATCGCAATGACTCACTTAACAGTGACTTGCTGCCCCTTACTGGCGGTTTTAATTTGACATTTAAAGTATCTTTTCATTTTGAAAATAATTTCAAATATCAGTATTCAACATTTCATGTTTAAAATATCAACACATTATTTATGCATTTGTAACTGCAGTTTAAAGCATTCCATGTCCCTCTAAGCTGCATTAACATGTGTAAATACATCTAAATGCCACTTCATATGCAACTTCTGCAAAGATTAATTTTATTGATACTGATTTAATTTGTTTAGTAACAGCCTAAATGTATTATTATTATAACTGACTGATTAAATGTAAGAATTTGACTCAAAAGATTATGTACATTTTTAGAAAAAAAATGGCTTTATAAAAAGTTAAAAATGCACATAAAAGGTAAAAAATAAATTGAAACTTATTGGAAAAGATTAATTTCTATCACTGCTGTGTACTGACCACACAGAATATGAAGAATATCAAAAACTTTAGGAGTCAGCTGTCCACGGTATCCTTAAGATATCAGCACAATAACACACTCAGCAAAATATTGTCTAATTATCTTTATCGATAAAATC